GTTGCTTCCACGCACGAAACACTTGTGTTTTCCGCGGCGCTCGCGAATAAATTTCATGTAAGAAGAGGGGAGGTGGTGCACTGAACGCGTCCGCCTCTCGGAACAACCAAATAAATTCGAACCGGCCGTATTTAACCGCGCCCGCGACTTTATAACTAACTTCCTCGGCCCTTTGTTCGCTGGCAAGTGGACATTTTCGAGTTTCTCTGGTCCCTGTGGGACAACCAGAAAGAGATTTCGACTAATACAGTAAATCTTCGGTGAGTGATCGAAAGCTCCTCGGCAGTGAACATGAAATATTTATGATACAAATATAAAAAGTCAACGTTACACCTGGGTACCTCTCCTTGTCAGTGTCAAGAAACCTTCGAACACTCGTCAAGAATTTACTATACAGAATTTTGACCCCACGAGAATATCCTAAATTTTCATCGACACCCCGTATATCGAGATGAACCGTAAAGACGGTGGGGTGGGGGGTTTCGCGCGCACCTGTCGGTTACTGTTTTCCCAGCCGTACACCTCTTCGTCCGCGCGCCTCGTCGCGCGTCTCGGCCTGGTTCCTTAAATGGCGCTGCGTGGGCGCTGCCACCTCGTCGCATATAGTTACGTATGCAACGCCATTCCGTGGGCCGTGGAGAGAAATTCCAGGGAAGTGGGCAACTGGACCTCGCGTAACGACCTTTTTCCAGAGTTTTCCACGGCGGACAGTCCGTCCATGGGCGAAAGTCGCGGGAACGCGACCGTGTCGTAATCGTTCGAACACCACCTCGACAGATACGAGGGAGTGATTTCATGTTAACCCTTTAACACCCAGACCCTTAAACCGTTATTTCAAAATTAGGAGACTGATATATATGTTGTGTCTTGTTATTTTGATGTAAAAAATATCAACATTAAACAGACTTATAATTTTTAATTTTTTGAATTTTTTATTTACTTTTGGAGGGAATACTTGAATTTCTTAACAGAAAAATTGGAGATCTACTTTATTTTAGCGAAACTACGGATCCTTGCTGAGAATAGTTAGATATTAACCAGCGACATAATTGGATGCACTTTTAAAATGATTGCTGCACCGGTGGAACACTAGGCGTTAAAGGGTTAACATCCCTCCCAAGTCATTATAACACTATGCTTAGGTTCCCAAGAATTACCGTGTTATGCGGATCACAGTTATACGAGAACGAAGAACTGGTATATAATTATACATGTACACATGGAAAGTGAGTTAACGTTCATTCGAATTCTTTTCATTCAGAAATAATGATGAACGTCATATTGCTACGAGACGTAACATTCTTGTGTTTTTATCTTTCGACATTTATTGCAGTTTCACTAACATGTTCGGCATTAATTCTAGCGAAATTTTAACGAAATTTTATATTGTCCCGAATGTACCGTCATGCTATTATACAGGGTGTTCCATTTAAATCGACCCACTCGAATATCTCCGAAACTATCGACAATATTAAAAAATGTTAAAACAAAATATAGTAAAATGTTTTACCGTTTAATTAGTTCAATAAATACTAACAAGCTGCATTTAATTACGTATTCTATTTACTAAGGAAAAAATCCTTAAAGATAGCTTAACGTTTTTGGTCGTCAAATTAGAATGACCCCTTACCCAATTTTTCCTTTGATTGAAAAAGTTTCGTTGCTTCGACGATACAACCCTTTCATACAACGTTCGCTGGATATTTTCCGAATGTGATGATCGATATCTGTCAAGGGTCAAACGCAATATCTCGGGTGGCACAGACCCTCGAAATTCACATATGGCGCCCAGGGATTGGGGTGAGACATATATTAAAACGGGATTCGTCGCGGGGTGAACGAATGAAAGTATTCAACCTCACGTTTATTGTGTCACGAGGGTGTTCAGGGGGCGATAGTTAACTTTCATGGAATACCATCTCGACGAGATGAGATTCACGTGTGCCATCTGGCAATCGGTTGATCCACCAGCGTAAAAAATTTACACTAGGCCATTTGTATGGGGATATATCGTGCGTACAATTGTATTGTGTCGTTACCTAACCCTGTAATTGTTGCGTTATCCGCACCCTATTTGACTGTTACTCTCCTTTCATTATCATCGGACACGAAACTCTATTCGAAACTAAATAACATATAATTTGGCTGAATTCCAGGTGCCTGGCCACCATACTAACGCGCCTAGAGAATTCGATTTTAATTGCACGGGAGCATCGTTAGCGGCGCATTACGCCGGAATAAAACCACGCTGTGGAGCCGAAGGAGGCTGCTATTAATAATCGCTAATTAGATAACGTTAATATACAGCGCCAGGATAATTATAATGAAATTAGGCATAAATGAAATGTACTTCTAGTATACACTGAGTCGAAAAAGTCTTCACAAACCTTTTCAAACGGAAAAACTTTTTTGAAAATTCGACCAAGCGACTTGGGTTTTGTTGTGAAGTTAGAAGAATTAGTTTACCAAATGATGTGACTATTAATGTCACCAAATAGTCAACCAGTATTTGTTTGGGTGGTTATAATTGGGATATCAGTAATTCAATAGAACATGTTTTACGAGTGTCAGTAGTAACTTTCAAGATATATTTTTAAAACTAATAAATTTATACACAAAAGTAGAGGTCCAGAAAATTCCAACAAATTTACCCTTCAATTAAACATATTAAATAATAATAAATACAAATAAAAACTTATGTTTTTGGTCAGTTAATACAAAAATTATACAATAATGTCCGTGTCATTTCTTAAAGTGTTAGTAATTGGATTTTTCGTTAATATCTCGTTAACAAAGCCTCGGATAACATTTTTGCTAAGGAAAAACTTGTTCCAAATCACCTCACAAGTGACCCACTTCAGGGAACTACAACACTTTTATTACACCCTGTATATGTACTTCTTTACCTCGAATATTTGTCTTTTTCACAACGAATGACAGTTCATTAAGCATCGATCTCCACCGCTTCGTGTCCATAATTGATGAATTGTCATTTCGTAATTGGAAGCCTCCAATTAAACCACAGCGTTAAAACAACGCGACCGTTCCTCCTGCGATGTTAAGCAAAATTAGAGACCGTCACAATCATTTCTAATTACAGACCGCGTCTCCGCTAATATGTAATTTCCATATATTTTGTTTTTCTCTCCGTTCTTTCGCGAAACACTTTGCATTCCGCGCGGTGGCGTGTTCCCACGCGTAAAAGCTGGAGCAGGTACGGTTTCACCGCTACCGAGGATGCAAAACTAGCACACCAGAACAAATCTCTGCTTCCCCCTGATGCCAGTTAACAATGCTTAATTAACGTTTTAAACGTTCGACGGTGCGATGATCCGTAATCACGCTAGCAGAGAGAGAGATAGAGATATGTAATTTCGAGTCGGATGAAAACAGAAAATTTCGACGAACCACAGAACGAAGGAGGAGGGGACGTCGTCTTTACGGCGAAATTGAAGTCTTTGATGCTTCCGATCACGTTTTAAGGTGACTTTCCAACCCCCAAGTAGAACCCACCGTTCTCATACATATATCTGGTCCACCCCACGAAAAAGACTATGGATTATTCTAAGCTCACGACAATACTCCGTGGGACTCCGAAATTCCTCGTGGTATCCGCGTGCTCGGAATATTTAATGATCACGGGGACGCACAATGTCCTAACGACACACCGTCTTTGTCGTCGGGGAGGATGTCCCGAAAGTATAAGGCAATATTATCTGTTGCAACCTAACCACAGATAAGCTACGTACTAAGTAATAAGGATTAAGCTGCGTATACACTGTATAGCATAACACGTTATACAGGGTGCAGCATTTGAGTTGACACATGAAAATGTAAAATAAAGCATTTCATAGGAAAGTATTTTAGACAGAAGTTGTTTGGTTTTGAGGGGGAAGAGAAAAATCCAAACCAACTCCAATCCAATCCAACCAGTTTCGCTCGTATTTTCAACAATTAATATCTCATAAACGAAGCTACAAATGTAATTTCGTCATTTTTGATTTTCGTTTTAGTTTGACGTGTATAATAATTAGACTGTAGCTGTTTATGCATTTATAGCATCTTTTAACTTGAGAAATGCAGTAAAAGATTTTAATAAAGTTTAAATCTACTTTGTATTACTATTGCCGAAGTAAAGCCTCTAACAGAGAATTAAAAATTCTGCTCCATTTTAATTTTTAGATTTTAGTATCTGGAATTGTGAATTCCAAGTGTCCTATTTTATAAAAATATTTTTATTATAATCCTGTACACTGATCTGTATCCCTTCGAGCCTGAAAATGGAGTTCGATGTGGGACTCGACCACGTTAAAGCCTTCAATCCCGTGAATACGTTTCGGTGGTTCAACTGTCTTGGGATTATACAGAACAATCTCCGTTACAAAGGGCTCGGCTGAATTTCCACCGACCGATCTTCTGTCCCTCTCTCACACTCTCGATAGCCTTGCAATTGGGTAGTACCATTGAAATTTGAAATTAAAATTCATTGGGATATAGCCGTCCGAGACGATAGTGTCTGAATCGTTCATTTCCATAGATATTGAAAGCTCGACTATCTGTGACCCAACGAAAATGACTCTATCCTGACTAATATTACCCTAGATGTCAAGTCAATTTTCAATATTCCGCTTCATCGATCCAATTGAATCACCAAGAAGTCATTTGTGACTAATAATTATCGCACATCAGGGACAAGTCCCAGACATGTCCAAAAGTGATCCGCTTAGCGTGGAATGAGTCACCCAAGCGTCTGGTTTCAACCCTACTGGTTCAACCAGGTAAAACCATACCGCGTTGCAATCTCCAATCCCAGTCGCGAGTAGCAAACAGTAGAATGCAAAAGCTACCGCCCATTCAATTTCTTCTATTCCCACAATCTGAATCGTGGGGCATTAGCTCGAGAAGGGGTCTGTCCCTCCTTATAATTTCCAACTCGTCACACTGACGTTCGTTCTATCCAGCTACAATTCTCTTATTCCTATTTTCTTTCATTTTTCCAGGGGACATCGAGGATTGCCTGGTCGCCCCGGTCGCCCAGGGACAATTCACGCCGCTCCCGGAAGCCCTTTGTTGGGCGATCCTCGAGCTAACGTCGCAGAGACAAGCGGCGACTCTGGACACGCTCAGGTCCGCTCTACGTAACGCTTTCCCGGCGATGCAACGGCCGAGCCGTGAGCTCGTCTACGACGCCCTCGCGAAGCTGATGCAGGAACGGAAGATTTATCATACGTCACAGGGCTATTTCGTCGTCACGCCCGAGACCAGGAGGCTCAGACGGGACTCGAGTAACTCCAGACGATGCTCCAGGGAGGTGAACGGCACGAGGGGTCAGGGGGGTATGCTGATGACCAACGACGAGGCGATGGCGCTCGTGCACGGGGAGATGCTGACCCTGAGGGACGGCGATGTCACGCATCAGGCCGTTCAGACGAACCTCGCGGACGTGATTTGTGGAGGTGAACGACCGAACGTTTCGTCCCGGTGCCTTTTTTTCATAGACAATACTGCCCTCCTTAGCTAAAATTTTCCTATAATTTGTCGTTTTTCAAGATTTTTTTTCAAGATTTTTCGAAATATTTCGGATGTACTTTTCACTTTGCAATTTAAAGTGGCTCATACAAGTGGTCAATTCAAAGGGTTAAAGCTTCGATGAGACTCGAGCTTTATAGATCACTGTACAAAACTAGTTGAGCACGTGGTTGCGCATATTCGTTGCACGAGTATCCCAGGAGTAGCAGTTCGCTAAGCTCTCAGCGCACACGCTTCGGGACCCTTTTCTCTCTTTTGGACTCGATGGACGAGTCCGGTGGTTGGTGGTGCCGTTTATGTTGTCGTCGTCCTTGGCTCCCAGGCAGCAGAACCCGCCGGAAGACCACGCGCGAGCGCATTCCATCGATGCGCGAGGCTCGAAAAATTGTCGCGATTCGATTTAAATTACCCGCCCCGGCGACGACGTTATCTCTCGGTATTTAGAGTGGCTGTCGTTCTTCTCCACGGCCCGCCAATTTATGCCCCTCTTCTTTCGGCGTTCGCTAACGGAATTAGAAATTCAAATGGGACCTGGCCTATCGCCGCGAGGAAAACTCGATTTCTTTATCGAACAGCGTCCCTCCCCTTCTTCGGGAACCGGATATGGTAAACGATGATTTCAACACTGTACGATAATACGTGTCCTCCACGGTGGATCTTTACGCGATATCAGCTTCGCCTTAGGTATGGATGTTACCTTGTTGTTCCTGCCATTTGCTCGCATATACAGGGTGAACCACGAATCGTGAACAGTAGATATCGTTCGAAGGCGATTCGTTCGGGAGTTTGTTCGCGTTCCAACCAAGAATTGAATCGCTGTTCAACCAAAAAGTGGAACACCCTCGTTCCTGATTTTCAACAAATGTGTGTACACACAGCCAGAGGCGGTGCGCGACGACCGCGAGTGGGTTACTAGCGTGAGAATCCACTCGAGAAACGGAATAAGAGAAAAGTAGGAAGATTATATGTATACGTGTGGCGTCCCCATCCCCCCCCATACATACCCCAATGATATTCCCCTCGAGTAACGTGTGTAACGGTAGACAATGTCGTGACCAATAGCTAATATATCGGCTTTGCTAAACGCTTTCCAGGGATTGCTGTGGAGTTGTTGGCACGGTATCTCTCTTTCTGTTCCTCTCAACTATACTACAGTCCCTGGCCATGAACGTAGCCAAGATATCAGTCGGGGGGGGGGGGGGTTAATTTCGATTAATTTGGATTAATAATCCAAAAATATTAACACATCGACTGCCACAGTGAAATAGGCTGTACGTAGCCAGACACAATTTATTTTGTTTTTAAAGTCATAAATCGTTGAAAATGCTTTTGTTTTAATTGAATTTTTGAAAGAAAATTGAAGGTGACCTGGAAATAATCACGTTAAAGCTCTCTCGAAACCATGCTATACCTGATAAAAACATTTGTGATCGGACTGCTAATAACAGAGTAATCTCTACTGATCATCGTGGTTCACCCTGTATATAAACTTACGATACAAATTCCACCAAGGATGTGTAAATTGTCCAAAGAACATTTTTTATTTTGTCCACGTTATACTATGACCATGAAACTAATTTTTTCTTTTTTCCAGGTAACCCGAACGACAAGGTCCTGTTCGCGAGGTGTCGATCGATGCCGGGCCGCCTCGAGAGGCGACACTCGCTACGGCTCTGGGGATCCGCCAGGCGTTTGCACAGAAGCGGAAGTTCGCGGTCGCTGCCGCGAAGGCCGGACAGAAGCGACACATCGTCGAGCGCTGAATACGCGAGCACCGACAGCGCGCCTCATAGCCCAACCAGTGAGTCGAGTCGGGGAAGGGATTGTTTTGGTGATGGGTGATCGCTTGAATTATCAGCCTTTCCTTTCGGATCCACAATATGCGCCCCAGGCGTAGACCACACACGCGTAATTGCTCTTCGATTAAATGCAAAGCCATTCGCGAAAAAGAAAATATTTTTTTTATGGAAAAAAGAGGGAATTTTTTTGCCATATGTTATAAAGAGACAGAACAGTATGGGAACTAGGGGATTCGTGAAGAACTGAGACAAATGGAATATAAACAAGAAAATCGTGTTTCAACCCAAAAATTCCGACTGAAGAATTATGACGAACATTTATTCTGAATCACTGTTATGAAGAACCTAAATTTTAGACTGTATCAGTTTTAGTTAAGGTTTATATCAGCACCCATATCGGTTCTATAACTTGTTTGTAGGTTCCATATGAGTTCCAAAACGGTTATGGAACCGATTCACATAAGTATTGTACAGAATTTTACAGTAAATGAAATCTCTAATATGAATTTTGTATGTAAACACGTTAGAGGTCGTATGAAGGTAAACCTTGTATCTTTTTAAATGGTATCCTATAATTTTTAATGCACTACTAGATGCTACTCGTTATTCCCTACATAAACTACTAAGTCACTTATGGCGAATTAGTGGATTCAAAATTATACGATTCCATTTGGAAAAACAAAGTTGACCTTCTATAACCTCTACGCATCCACATATAATTAAGTTACTCACATCCGAAAGTGTGAGCCCTGATACAATATAACTTTTCTTTGAAACATTATTTAATATAGTCAACAGTTTCAGAAATATTCGAGTGTGTCCATTTAAATGAGGCACCCTGTATATCAATCTCCTAATTTACAAATAACGATTTAATAATCTGAGAGTTAAACAGTTAAACTGAGCACACCACTTTCATTTCAATCGCGAAGACATCTTCATACGCGACAAGTGAATTATTTAACCGGTACTTTCTCCGATGTCTCTACCATTTGTCAGAATAAAAAGTAAAAACACCTCCAGTCTGAAAGTTCTTTCGAATATTCCCTGTGTTTCCACCTCTCGTTCGCTGTAGAGGAGGAGAAACACAAAAAACCTTGCGACAACTTAACTTTCAAACATCCAGAATCGAAGCTTCTTTAGTCACCCTTAGCTGGCAAGCCCTTCCTCGATCCCCCGATATCTATCTTTCGTAAACGAACCGCGACATCCGGATCCCTCGTTTTTCTCAAGGTTTCTCCGGGATATTTTCAGAGAAAATCGGTCTGCTCTCCAGGCTGTTCCGACGCAGCACACGGAGAAAGGGCGCGCCGTTAATGGGCACGTTCAGCGCACAGTATCCCCCGACCGAGTGGTTTAACCCACGTGTCGTTCACCTACACAGCGTGGCCACGCAAACCAGAGCCGCCAGCCCTTCGGTGAGTGTGTTTTTTTTCTACCAACTTCTGGTAGTTTTCTCGAACCACATACGTGTGTATTTTTACTACCAACAGTTGGGAAATGAAAGCAAACGGGGGAGGACGATTAAATTGGATCCGTCCCAACTGTGCTTCGAGAAGATACAGTAAATCCTCGATAAGTGTTCGAAGGCTCCAACAAGGAGAGATCACCAGGTGTAACACTGACTTTTTAATGACAGTCAGCACAGTGATAGAGTTTGGAATTCTGAAGCCAATAATATTTGTTTCGGCCGCATGTGGTCATTAGCAGGAATCGAAATAAACAGTTATCTGGAATGTTACCTTTAGGAATTTCTTTAAAAAGTGTTCTCATGGAACGAACAAGTTATTTTAGAACGTCTATTATAAAAGGTCCTGTTACAGACAAATTTTTATTTTTATATCTCATCAGTAGTTTTATATCTATTCAAATTAAAACGTTGATTTTTAAGACCTTTGTTTACCTGTTCTAAAAGGAACTTACAACGAGAGCTCGTTTTTTAAAAAAGTTCCACGATCCATGTTTTAAATAGAACCTGTTAAAAAGTTCCATAACTCTTTCAATCCCTGGCCATTAGTTTATAAAATATTTAATATTCAATGCCGAGAAGGCATCGAACACTCATCGAGTATTTACTGTATAAATTTGATCAATCGAGTCTTCGACAAACCATGCAATAAAAAATAACACACACTCACGGTTTCCAGATGATGGAGGGTCTGGACCAGTCGCAGGCCAGTTTCCAAGTTTGGGACGACTCGAGCTCCGTGCGATCCGCCACATTGCCCAGGCGGCATCGACGCCAAGCCAGCGGCGATTCGTCCAGTTTACTGGCGAACTCGACCCCCAGAAGCTCCAGACGACATCGATCACCGTGCTCCACCCTGCCCCGATCGAAATGCTCCAGTTTAAGCAGATGCACGTCCAGAGCCTCTGTTCTACCGTCAACGGGCAATCAGGAATCGTATCAGCCCCGTAATCAAACGCAAAACGGCAAGAACTCGGCGAACTCGTCGCCGAGCAGAAGCGGCGGCAGTTCCGGTTCCGTTCGTACGGCGAACGCGAGTCCCGCGAAAACAGCGACCCTCGGCCGATCGAACGCTAGACAATCGAACTCACGGCGACCGAGCCACGATTCGACCGGCAGCGGTACTAAGTCGAATGGATCGCCCCAACACAAGGTAACGGAATAATCGAACACCAAATTGATAGGGCGTTTGTTGCGCATAAAAGAACATGAGGTCATTTCCCACAAAATCGATCAATTTTGGCGATCGATGTCAGGGATTTAGTTCAAAACGAAGTATGATCTAGGCCATAAAACTACTGTAAATTCTCTATGTTAGGCAAGTGGTGTTTAAATTTTAAGAAATGCATGGTCATATTTCTTGAATTCTTACCTACAATATGAGCCTTTTGGAAGGATGGAGCAATAAAAATTAGCCTCCCAAAAAGCTGTAAACCTGCATCATTTTAATCGGGAAACTCTCTCCAAGATGTTAACAAAATATTCAGTAACAGAGAACCGAAAAATAAAGTTTCATTGTTGCATCAAGACCATTCCATCAGCCTACGATGTATTATGCGCTGAAATCGTATCCTACGATTACTACTACTTCAAACATTCCCCCTCAAATTTCAAGTATTAATCGCAGATTTCCACTGCCTTGGTTCCCACGAAAGGGTATACTATTCGCTCAAGTGTAAAAAAAAAAGACTTCGAACAATTTTCTTTATGCGCAACAATTCAATCTCGTAGCCCAGAACGATTTCCACTTAAACTTCCTTAATAAAAATAAAACTAATATAATGTTTAACTCTTAAATGAAACAACCATCGATCATCGACAGATACTGCAAAAGACATCGTCCGGCCACTCGTCCCACTCCAGCGGGAAATCGATCTCCAGTGGAAAACTATCATCATCCCCGTTGAAAACGTCCACGCTACCAGTGAAGTCATCCCCGTTGAAGGTGGTCCAACAGGGTTCCCTGACACCTCTACAAGAAGCACAAAATTCCATCACGCTGCAAGTGTCCACGAACCTAACCCCAGTCAGTCCGACGCAGGAGCAACGCGCGATCCAAAACAGCGTGACACTGGCGTCGAATGCTACCAGCACCACCACGATATCCGGTTCACCTGGTACGAAGATCTACGTGCAACAGAACAACTCACCGATGAGATCGGTGATCACGTTCGAGAACGGCACGGTAAAAACAAAACTGGCCGAGAAAGAAGATTGTCGAGAGAAACAGGACCGTGAATTGCTAGGCGAGAAGATCTACAAGACCCATCGGATAGACGACGAGAAACTGTACAAAACGTCGAAGCTCGACGACGAGAAGCTGAACAAACCGGTGAAAATCGAGCGTCCGTCCTCGTTGTACGGGTCCAAAGAAACGAAACCGAGCCACATCCTCCAATCGGAGTCGGACAAAGAGAATAAACCGAAGGTCGACGAGGAGACGACGAAACTGAAGCTCACCAATCGTCTGAACAACAGTCAGGCCCATCTGATCGACGGTTCGACAAACAACATCGACAAGAATTCATTGGTGAACGATCATCCGGGCCAAACCAACACGAAGAACACCAACGACGCGATGAACAATTCCCGGAAATTGAGCCTGTCGTTGTCGAAGGACGCGTTGAGCTATCGTAATTTGCTTCGTCCCGGTTCGAAGAACAATATCGCCTCGAATCCACCGTCACCGACGAAATCGTACGACGGTTTCGGCGGTTCGTTCAACAACGTTTACATAGAAAATCTCGAGACAATGAAGCAAAGGGCGCCCCAGGGCTCCGAGCCGAATCTCGAGAAAACGGTCAGTCGAGGGGATCTGTACACGTATCCGAGTCTGAGCGACATGCAGGTACAGTTCACCAGTCTGGCCGCCCAGAAGATACTGAAGGGTTGCCCGATCAACAGCGTGGACACGTTGGTCGAGGTGAACACCGCCGCGGCCGAGAAACCGAACAATTGCGACGTCACCGTACACACCGATTTCGGACTCGTTTAACAACACAGTTCTGTGTATGGTTTTTTTTCTTTTCCTTTTTTTTTTTGTCTTTTTCGTTCGTTTTTTTTTTTTTTTTTTTTCCTTTTCTTTTAATCCGCCGCGCACGTGTCTCGTACAGTGAAAGGTTGAACTTTAGCACGAATGAACTTTGACGTAGTTGCGTGGTAGACGCGTCGAATAGCAACGGATCGAACGCTAACGAATACAGTAAGTCATCGATGAATGCTCGAAGGCTCCTTGGCACTGAATGTTCAGACGTCATCCCCACTATTTTGGGGAGGTGGTGGGGATGACGTCTGAACACTTAATAGGGATGTTCGATTCACTTCGAAAAATCGATTCCCGAATTAATTGTCGGGTCGAATCTTGAGAATCTATAAGAATTGATTAAAAAATCATAAAGAAACATATATTGCCTAGTAAATAGAGTTAAATTGGAATTAGAGGTGAAGTTAGTGTAAATTTGAAGGTTTCACGTCAGTTAGAAATTCTGTTGAAAGATACATTTAATAATTATAAATTAATTAATGATGTGTTTAAAGATTCGAAATTTACCTTCTTCCCTTTCCCAAAAAAGTTGAAAAAAGAAAAAACGATTCTCAATTCTCGGAGTAAAGAATTAATTCTCAAAAAATCGTACAGCACAGAATCGTTTCAAAAGATCGATTTTTTAACCAAACGAGTCGATTTTTTGAAGAATCGAATCAGAATCGAACATTCCTAACACTCAGTGCTGCGGGAGCCCTTGAACACTCATCGGTAATCTACTGTACTGCTTAAGCATATAGAGAGCAATTTTGTGAACCAGTTACCAGTATATATATGTATAAAATATACACACGTTCGTTGGATTTTTCACCGTTTTCCTTTCCTCAGCTGTGTGCTGTCACGCGTCTTCTGTGTGTTACCCGACAGTAGTATATTTCTTTACAATTTGGAACGATTCGCGATCATCGTATCCGTCTCGTGCTACTTTCGATCAATCGATCTATATGCTTACGCGTGCTAAAACATTCGATATAATGTTTTTTTTTTTTTGTATAAACGAAGAAGACAGCCATTCCACAGAAAGTATTCGTTTAAGCTTATTTCTAGTTGTTTAGAGAGCATATTTCAAGAATAATCCCGGTGACACACACAAGTATTCTCGGCCAGGAACCAACGCCAGTTTCCGTACATATTTTCATTTTGCGAACGAAATCTGAGACGCTCGTTGCATTTTCATTTGTTCATTTTTCCGTATCCTAGACCCCAAGGTCTTGGAAGAATTCTATGGGTATCTTTACGCTGCTCGGAACAATTAGGAGATAAGGAGAATTCTTAAGTGAACTTCCGAAAAACATTGGAAACATTGACACCTTGACATATGAAATCAAGGATTTTCAAAATTGTTCCGTAAAATCAAGTGACTAAACCTATATATTTCAAAAGCAACAAGAAAAAAGTGAAATGAAACAGATAAATATTAAAAATTAAAAATACACAACTTAAACTTTTATTTCGAGTTAAACAGATATTGTTTCAACAATTTCATTTGTGTTTACGTATCTCAAATTATTAGTCGAATAAATATAATAAGATAAATATACAATTGAATAATTCTCCAATTATTTCGAGCAGTATTCTCGTTTTACAAAAGTCTGTCGAAATTATTCCACCTTTTAACACAGATTACTCTTTGGTCATTAGACGGAAAGAAAAAACAATGCATCAAGCGAGTCAGATTTCATCGCGTCTCCGTTCGTCTTTCTTTCGTGTAATTTATCATTAATAGAATCGTCTATATAAACGGGTACCACAGCGTCGTAACGTAGGCACAGTTTTGCATCGCTTTACGAAGTTAAAGTGATTTGCTAAAGCAATATTTTCACGTACGATAGCCTGACAATTGCCTTACTCGAACGAGAGAGAGGGAGAGAAAGGGAGAGAGAGCGAACGAGCAAGCGAGCGAGAGAGAGAAAGAAAGAAAGAAACAAAAGAGATGATACATATTTTGCGCGAATCCAAATACTGCCAATTTTCTAGCGTCGACGTAGATTAACGAAAAACGTTATGGAAGACCCCCTCGAGGTCTTCGATGGATGTTGTGTAAAAAAAAAAACAGTGGTAATTTAAAGAGCACAATTCTTTCTTCTCGAATTACCCTCGTTCCCAGTCGGGACGAGCGCGTCTATAAATGGATTAGACGACATTTTTTGTTTCGGTCGATATGCCAAAGTAGAAAGGAAGCGTAGCGCAGTCAACTTTATAATAGGAATTTAAGCATAGTAATCGACTACGCGTACGCAACGGGATAGACTACGATATTAACATACAAGCGTACCACGATATTAAAATAACAAAAAGCGTACACCGCAAACACAATTATTGTATTCGCAATCAGACTACTCCCATTTTGGAAACGGGTACAATTTTTTATAAAGCGAAATTCCGCCGTCGATTCGATCACACTTTCGAGTGTAAATTTTATACGTAAATTACGCGTTCAATATACCTCTGACGACACACGGTCAAAGAAATTGTGTCGAAAAGAAGAAGATGAAAAAAGCAAAAGAAAAGTTCGATTGACGTCGTTGCTTGTAACGGGAAAGACGATCGCGGCGCTATTTTAAACGCGCGTTCCAATTCCGCGCATGCGCGATACACGTTATCATGGCGCGGAAATACGAACACGGCCTTTTTTTCGTTCGTTACACGATAGCGAGAAGATCATTGTGCCCGAGATACGAAACAGAGAAGAGGTGCATTCCCCATTCCGGAATATAAGCGGTACCATTTTATAATTAGTGCAATGGTAAATCTAAGTGCCAAAACTGTTCTCACGAGGGAAGAACCGAACTCGTACCACTCCGATTTCGGACGTACTTTTGCAGAATGGTGGTACAACGACCATTAGTTGTGGTATATAATTTCATTTACTTACATGTTTAAAATTATCGAATGTCCATGCCTAATGTTTTAAGTGTTAGCAACATGGAAGTTTCGACGTTAACGTTCTGCGAAAATACATGAAAATCGAGAGGTGTACAAATTGGGTGCTTGCCTTTATTAGTACTTAAATCGCCTTAAACCGCTCGCAACGCGACCTTGTAGCGACTCAAAGCGAACCCATCGTCGCGTTGCGAACGAATTCTTCGTTTAACGTTCGAATCACAATTATTAACCTTAAACGTAAAAACACGTAGTCGTAAGACGGCAGGTACATAAAAATAATTGAACGCCGCACTGTCGTGGGCCTGCTTTGTACATTTCATACACTGTATTGCCGATTAACCGTTAGCAATCTCGATACACCCTCAACGTCTTCCACTTTTCACGGAAATGGAAGGACACGAGCCTTTTATGCCCTTATTTCTTATGGAAAACTAACTTGTAGAGTATCAATTGTGTAATCTTGCTCTATTATAATTATAACAACGAAAGCGCATGATAATAAAAACATTAAAAAGATGTCTGTTTTGTCATTTAAACCCGTCGTCGAACAGCAAGAAATACAGAGAAACAGTTTCGTACAGTGTCATGTTTATAGCTTGGAAGAAATGAAATAGAAGACTCACCTAAAATGTAAGGTGTCAACCAGCTCGCTGCCCGTTGAGACGCTGACAATTTCATATATCTCTTACGAAATATTTCATGTCACTCCGCGTAAAGTTTACGCCGACAACTAATACCACTGATTCACTACATTTCCAGATTAAAGTTTAACACATGGCACATTAAAGCAAGGAATCAATAAAACGATAATTAGAAAAAAATAGCTTCACATGTTTCTACGACGTTGTTACCGCGAGACCAACGATTTAAAACTGACGGTTGGGCTACGAGCAGCGCCACCTACAACCGAATGGCGCGAATCCGAGATCAATTTTAACTGTAATCATCTGTAATGAAAACTTTATTATCATAATAATCGATATCTATTAAAATTAATTTTAACTTGACATTTCTATATCCAGGCCTCTTGGAAGAATTAATATTTATTTGCACAAATGCTCCTTCGTGTACTTAAATATACAAATGTTTTGATAGCTACATGTCACGTGTCAAGCCTAAATCACGTCACATTTACGCATATTATTTTTAAATTAACTTACATTTCAAAAACCCACATTTTGAGTGAAAAATCTGTTGAAATATCCTACATATTTTCACCGACTAGGTACATATAGAATAATTCTATCATACAATGCTTTTTTCTGTCTCACGATCCAGGGGCTACGTAGCCCCCTTACCAATTCAATGTCAATACCCGACGTTACCGATACAGCATGAACTCTGAGTATTCTTAAAATTAGCACAAATAGAGATCGAAGAATAGTTGGCGCGGAATATTAGTATTTCTTAACAATTTTCATCTTAAAAAATTGCTCCCAATTTGCTCCCTCCTCATCTATCCTGGATGATACAATGCTGAACATCTCCCACCGAATGTGTGATTGTTATAAACATTGCACTGCCGAGAATATTAAATTTATTGCTTAATAATTTCACACGAATTGAGTAAAACCAAAAATACTGTTCTTAAAACTGTAACAGTTATTGTCAAGGACAATATCAATCAAACGTCGATCAAAGAATTCCTACTGTTCTACAAATTTTTATGAATTCCTTGTTTAAAACGCTATCAAGGCACATTTTCATTAAATTATATTTAGTTAACAATCGTCATAAACATTAAGACATAGTCATTGTTTAATAGTTTGCAATAAAGTAAAATTTATTACATGTAAGAGTTCATTACACGGTTCATATCTTGAAAGTTTCTGTATATTTCGATTTATATTTGTTATAAACAATAACAATTTGCATTATAAGACAGCTGACAAAATGTTTAACAATATTCCTCAGAGAGGTAATTGTTACAACAATTACCTTATTAGAAATAATAAATTAATCGAGAAATAATTTTTGGCGCGCTCGAGTTTCCAGTGCACTCAATGTTCGCGCACCTGTCCGCGCACTTGGCCGCGCACCAGTGCGCGCAAGTTCACGATCACCGC